AGCATAAATCACACAAATAAAGGGCTCTCTTGTTCTCCTTGCTGGACCTATCAGCATTTGCCTTATAAGCTATTTTTAACCTCATAAAACACGCTCACCATAGCCTGAAATTCTATATGAGAACATTCCATTCACGAGGGACTTGAAATTCACCACCCTGGGTCAGACAGGCATTAAAAGGCAAGGAGAATATACGCCACAGTTCAGGTCCCTAACTCAGTCCAGTCAAAAGAAAAAGAAAAAATCAGGGATGTTTGATATTCCCAGGCCACAATGGGCATATTCCACAGCAGCGCCAAGGCCACATTCCGCACCCTCACAATCCCTGGGGAGACAAGTCTCCCAAAACCAAATGAGTGAAAGCTGCAGGGTGCCCTGACCTTGACATCGACTCTTCCAGGTGCGCCACTGGCTTCCCCAGGGGTTAATAACACCCCGTAGGGACAGCTAGATGGTGAAAGCTTCAAGTGTATCCACCATCACAGGATCATCTCCAGCCTCCAGCGATGAGGAAACACCATTTTGCATTTTTCTATTGTGTCCCCTAAAAGGAGGCAGTGACGAATCAGAGCAGGGAGGGACAGAACTTGAGCCCCTCTTATACCCCCTCATATTCCAAGGAATCTTCAAAAGAAAAAAAAAAAGGCAGCAACACTGAGAAGACAAATCGAGGAACAAAGGGCTGGGCCTGGAACAATGCCCAGCCTTCCGATGCCAGGAAGGAGACTTCGGGACACGGGGCAGGGATGGCACCACCACCACCAAGACCTAGGGAACCAGAGGGCGGCCCTCGAAAGCACCTGCTCAGAATTCTCTGGGGATCGCCTGATGAGAACGCCCCAGAAACGACTCCAGAACCACTTCGCACGCAGCAGGTCACCCCGCCAAGAATGAAGTCCGGGTGTCGGAGGGGGGAATCCAGCAGCAGCCTCGAGATTTCCCACCTACCCACACGCCAGCACCCAAAAAATCGATTCCCTGCCGCCTCCAGCAGGGACAAAAATAGCTGGAAGGGAAAGGTGGGAGGGCCTGACGCTGATAGAGGGGGAGGAGGGCTCTCACCGCCCGCCCCCCCACGACCAACCAGTAGTCTGTACTGGAGGGCTGTGGGGCAGATTTTATTAAGAATGTGAATATTAAACAAAACTCTTCCTGTTTGAACACCACCCCAGCTATTTCCTAACCCTGTAATTACTCATTGAGTCTCCCTTCAGAAACTTCTCAAGTACGATCGCCCTACTTATTGGAATTCTCACCCTCGACTGAGTCAAAAGACTCAAAGGGAGCACATCTCTAGTTCTGGCCTGCGGGGGAAGACGATGGACGGGGAGCTTTGGGCTGCGTGGACGCTCAGTGCTCAACTGGCTCAAATAAGTGCACACACGCGTGTACACACACACACACACACACACAAACACACAATCCAAAGTCGGATTAGAGGCAGCCAGTATAGAAAGTATACAAATACCAGTTCTCTGGGCTTGCCAGATTTGAGCTCCAGAAGTAATATTAAACACAGCTCTTTGTGCATGAATTGTGAAATACTTTATATACTAATAAAGAATGTGTACTTCATTGTGTATTTAACTGCATAAGCCTGCATTTGGTTTAATTGGCCAAGAATAAGTCCTCGTTCCTAAGCTTACGATCAAATTACAGTCAACTCTTAAATATTAACACCCATATTGAGCGGGAAAGATGCAGATAATATAAAACAGAAGATTAGTTTAAAGCATCCACTCTCGGTATGTGGAGATGTTCTGTTTTTCTTTTCACTTGCAATTAAATGCATATGGCCGATATGACATTCACAACACTTCCAACAAAGGGCTAGTGGAAAAATCCGACTGAGGGGGTACCCACGAAGAACCCCACTCCTCTTCTCTGTCATCGAATTTTTGGCCAGCCAGACTGCTCCCCAAATCAGTTTAAGGAAGACAGGCAAACCTCTCCCCGCTGCCTGCCTTGTTACAGGCCGGGAATCACAGGTTGTGGAGGGTGGGCAAGTCACTATGGCTTTGGGGCTGGGAATGCCCTTTTATCCCAGCTCCTACTGGGCTGGGGTAAACCAAGATGATGGTAAGGGCACCCGTGGCTGTTAGCCACCTGAGGTGCAAACAGCACAAGGAGTTTGAAAGCAAGAGTCCCCCACTCAGAGGCGACCAGGCTAAGATGGGGAGGAGGGCGTGTTTGACTGCTCACAATACTCATCCACAGAGGATGGCACTGCGGCCTACTCCAGTCTCAATCAACCCCAGGCCTTCTGCATCCCTGCCATGAGGACCAAAGAGCAGCAGCATGTGAGCCGAATCCAGCCCCCGCCTGCAGGCACAGGGTCCCTGAAAGACAGACCTGGGCTAGCAAGCCACATCCACTCTGCCAGCCACAAAGCCAAGGCCATCCAGGGGCTAGCCCCAAGCTCCGGAAGGGCCAAAACGAAAGGGCTTTGGGGTGGGGCGGGGGGCTTCTCCTCCGTGACCCTTTTGTCAGGAGGATCCAACCACACAGGATCTAAACTGAACTTCCCTATTAGCAAACCAAAAGTCTTCCAAGATAAGGCTTTAGAAAGTCAAAGCAGACCTTAACTGCTAGGGGAAGCGAGCTAGAGTTATACAGGAAGACAGCTGCGCTTATCCTAACCTCAGATAGACAAACAGCCCCAGCCCGATCCCTTCCTTATCACCAAACTCCCCCCTAGGAAAGATCTGCTCTCAGGTGGCTGGTATTGGGGGGTGGGGTAGCAGAGAGGGAGGTGGGCAACCCCTCAAGACCTGGAGTGGGGGAGGGGCCTCCTCCTTCCACAGGCAGCATTTTACACTGCCCCTCTCCCAAAAGCCAGACACTGTGGGAACGGGTACAGCCTGCCCAGGGACACTGGTAACAGCTGGCACAGTGGTGCCCACCGGCGGCCATTCTGTGGGCCGGTGCCCACAGGCGTACTGCCTGGCCTTTACGCCCACCTCAACCTTTAGAAGCAGCTAGGCAGGGGGCATGAACATCCATTGGGTATCCATAAAGAGACCCTGAAGACAGACAGGCACGGAACCCCAGGAGGCCCAGGGCTCCAAGCTGCCTTACTCCAATGTCCTGGGATTCTAGAGGCAAATTAATGATCCCAGACACACACACACACACACACACACACACCGGTAAAGCCAGACTTCTCAGATTTCCTCCCAGGACATCCCCACATCCCCGCGTGGGAAGACCAGCTGTCAACCACACCCACGTCCTCCAATGGCAATTCCCACCCAGGGAACAGTGTGGGGCACTCAATGCCTTCCTACGCCGCTGCCCGGTCCCACTGCGCAGGTACCCACAGCATCCTACCCTTCCTTCAGTAATTAAAAAAGGTTCAAGGAGCCCTCCAGGACCACTCCACACTGAAATCAAGTCACAACCAGGCCGCCCGGAAAATCCAAATGCAAAACGGCAGATTGCTCCTAACCTCTCGGTAGGAACTCCCGGCTCGGCTTGCCCGCTCCGCGCTGAGCCGTGCACTCAAGGGAAAACCGACAATTACGGGAACATCCATTTTAATTATTAGCAAAATTAAAGAAGCGCAGTCCCAACTTTCAGAAACCTGGAACCTCCTCCCTCCCACCCAACCCCCCACCGCCTTCCCACTGCCAATCACTTCCATCTTGATGTCACAACATGAGGCACCACGAGGCAATGCCAGAAGCCATCTGTAGGTGCAGACTGTACAAGCTACAGACACACACACCCACACCCCTGCCCGCAACACACACACACTCACTCACACAGACACCCAGACTCCCTTCCTCGGGATGCCATCGTCACGGGGATGTCACCACACCTGCTCATGACAAAGCGGTCACATTTCTGTGTAACAGAAAGTTCCCCAAGCTCCCCAGCACACTTCTGGTGCTCTGTACCCAGGGGCTTACCCTCTCTCATCAAGTACACAGAGACCCTTAGCGTGAAGGCACTACCCGGGACCCCTCTTGGGTCGGCTCCCTGTCCCCACCCAGCCACCCAGCCCAACAGAGTGAACCCAGGGCCTGGGCTCCCCACGCACTTGCACAGCAGCTCAGCTAATCCCAGATGCCACCAAGGATGGCGCAGGCTCCCCCAGAGCCAGGCAGGCACCAGGTGGGCTCTCAGCAAGCAGGTTCATTAAGTAGTGATGAGTGTTGGGATCTGGCATGCTAGTCTCAGATTACCACTCGCAAACTAACTCGGCTACCAATATTCCCTGCTGATGACAGGTCTCGGGGCTGTACCAAGCAGGCGCTTGGCTCACACTGTCTCGGAAGAACCTGGGGAGACAGGGTCCAAATCAGTGGAAAACTTGAGCCTCGTCAAGGCCTCGCAAGTGGCCCGATGCCTTTACAAGGAAGTCTCCAGAGCAGCACGGCCCCACAGGATCTGGAAGTTCTCACGGAGCGGGCAGACCCCTAGTGGAGTCACATGCAAGGTGACCTGAACTAGAATGCCACTCCACGGCACGTGGCTTACAAGGTCAGATGACTACAGCAGCATGAAACAAAAAAACTTTAATGAAAATAAAAATAAGAACCCCTAGGAAGTCAATTGTTTCCATGTTCACTTTCAGAATCTTTCGTCCTTAAACTATGAAAACTTCAGCATTTCACACAGAAGCCAACGTCCCTTCCCAGCTCCTTTTCTTAAAACCAGCAATCCTTTACAGGGTAGGAATCCATCCTGGGAGCGAGGGTGCCAAGACACAGCACGGGCCACCACGGCTCTCCCTGGCTCCCCCCGGCTCCCCTCGGCTCTGGCGCAACCCTCCCCTCACCCAGCACAGAGAGGGACACACTCAGCCAGGGACCACCAAGCAAGGCACCCTGCTGCCCGCAGGGCTCCTCGGAAAGGCCCCCTCACAAGGTCTCCACCTCCTCTCCAAGACTCCTTTCCAAACTCAACAGGCCTTCCAGTGAGTGCCACTTCGCCCACACCCAAATCCCCCAAAACAAACTCGGCACCCCCAACGAAAGGGAAACGACACCCCTTACCTTCCGGCTCCAAGGTGGTATCCTCAACTAAATTGAAGGAGGGCCGGGCCAGGCACACAGTTGCCATGGTCACCATGACCAGGCAGAGGAAGCGGCCCCAGCTGACCATGGCTCCGGTGCCAATCCCCGGTCCTTGTCCGTATCTCCATGTGGACGTTAATCCCATCTGCACACGTCCCCGGGGAGCATGGACTGCCTGCAATGCCTTCAGCCTGGAGGGGGGTTCTCGGGAACCAGGGTGCTGCTGGGCCGAAGCTGGTCTAGCCACCGCTGCTGCTCCGTCGCTACCACTGCCACAAAAAGGAGATCAAGGCGAGTTAGTGCTGTCTTCCACCCGGTACCTCTCACTTAAAGTTCCAGATGCCCAACGTGCACAACGAGCATTTTTCATTATCTGCCCACCACTAGGCGTGTCCTCCAGACCCGTCCACAAAGGTGTGAGGCTAACCTCCGAAAAGCCATCCTTTCAAGAAACACAAAGCGAGAGGGAAAGCAGCAGCTACAGGACTCAGGCGTGGCCACTTGAGTGCAGCGAAGTAAGCTCTCTGTGACCCATCACCCATGGCCTCCACCACCCTTCAGGCAGGAGCAACCTGACCTCAGCTTCACGGACGACCAGGAAAACAAGCCGGTCGGCTTGGCCGGTGGGCTCATGCTCTTAGGTTCTCCCCATCCTGTGGAAAACTGGCCGGGCGGCCGGAAGGCAGCATCTGCTTACGCGACCAGTCCGGCGGAGCTGGCTGCTTCCCACTCTCACAGTGGGAGGGACCCAGTGAAATCCAAAGGATCCCAGAAAAGCTACCAGAAAATTCCCCCCACTTTCCACTTGTCAGGATTCATCTGCAAACACGGAAGCAGATTTCCATCATTCCCCAGGCAGCCACGAAGAGAGCTGGAAGGCATCCGGGGCAGCAACGCACACAGGGGGCCAAGACCAGCGCCCCTGGGCCCTGACCGCATGGCTAAATGTCTTCAACCCATGGCATAAATGATAGTAATATGCTGGCCAGGCCAATAACCTATTTATTTTTAAAGTAGTTTAGAGAGAGACAGGCAGAGAAGAGACAGAGCAATGAGAACTCCCATTCGTTGCTCACCTCACTCCTCCCAGATACCCACAAAGCCCGCAGAAGCCAGCGGCCAGGAATGCATCCAGGTGTCCCCATGGGTGCAGGGACCTAATCACAGGAGCCATCTGCACTGCCTTCCAGGCGCTGCGGCAGCAGCAAGCGGAAGTCGGGAGCCTGAGGCTCCCAACAGCCAGGGGGCTCTAGCCGGGACACAGGCACAGCAAGCACTAGTCACCCGTGGAAAAAAGACCTTCCCCAACAAGTTTAAAATATTCCAAAAAACTTGAGATGCACTCACAGAGCCGGTGACCATGCTCCAGGGAACCTGCTGGAAGCAATCGCAGGAAAGGGTGCAAGCACGCCCAGCCTTCCCTTCCGACCCCCGGCAGGCACTTCGCAAAGGGTGGGGGGGCGGGGAGACCTCTCATACAAAAACTCCAACCCGCACTTGTGCCAACTTTATGACACAGGATTTCAACAGCACTGGGGCCTCCCCAAAGTTCTACCATTAAAAAAAAATAGCTCCTTTAAGTCCCACCTGAAGATTAAAATCGGGGGCAAGCAGAGAACGCCTACATCCAAAGGGTGAAGTGGGGAAAGGGTGTGTGTGTGTGTGTGTGTGTGTGTGTGCGCGCGTGTGCGCGCGCACGAGTTGCATCGCTCAGGGACTCTCTTTCCTTCCTCTTATAGTGCAGAGCTCCTAAGATAATTCTGTATCTATTTCTACATACATGTGGGAGGGCAGCGCAAGAACAACCCTAGGCATCCGCAGAATGTAGGGGAATTCTCCGTCTGCAACAGGCCTGAGCAACCTCACGTCCCGGGCAGCAGCCTGTGACCCCAGGCTTCTGTCCTAGCCACTTCACCCACCTGTCCCTGCCCGGAGGGGCCTCCTTAGCCGCAGGCCGCGGAAAGGCACACGGAGCCCCATTCTTGCTTCCCAGGGGAAACCTGAATTTCAGCCATTTCCAGGTTCAAGCCCCACGGCGGGGCCCCTGCCCCAGATCTCTGATCTGCGCAAAGGCCTGCGGGCGGCAGGTCCGCACAGCTCCTGCCCCGGAGTGGACAAAGGTCCGACGCGACCTCCTGGGCGGGATAATTAGGTCCCGAGGCTCCGTGTTGGGAACACAGACCCAGCATGCCGCTGGCGGCCACAATCCCGGCTTCCTGCCTTCAAGACCGTAATCCTTCCTGCAGTTGGAGCCCCAGTGAAAGCCCAGGCGTGTTTATTTTTCCCCTTGAAAGGGAACTCCGGCTCAGCCTGCGCGCGGAGGAGCTGTCAACCCGCCTTCTGATAGATGGCGTTTCTCGGTCACCCCTCCACACACACACACACACACACACACACCGAGGCACAAGCCTGCCCTCCCCCATCCCCAAGAGGTGGCTCTCCGACCAGCAGAAGCAGCCCAGCCGGGGAGGGACCGCTCCCGCGCTAGTCTAAGCCACTGGCCACAGCATCCCCAAGCCCACAAGCTCCAAGAAGCCGCAGGAGGGGCCACCCCACGAGGCGTCTGCCTAAAGAGCAGCCTTGGCGGCCCGCCGGCTCTCCCACGCAGGGCATCTGACACTCCGTGCCCGAGAAGACTTCACGCACTAAAGTCAGCAGTGCCAAGGGCAGACCCACACCCTTGCTCACAGCCTTCCAGCTTCACCCCGGAACACAGGAGAGCGGAGGTCCAGGTCCAGTATGGGAAGGAGACCTCAGGACGTGGAAATCCCAGCAGTTGCAGCCCCAGCCCACCGGCCGCTCCCTGCCCTGCCAGCGCCTGCAATGCCAGGCGCGCTCCCACCGCCTCCCTCTTTCATTGTAGTGCTTCTTTCATTAGTTTGCCTGGAATATCCTGTTTTTCTCTCCCCCCAATTCGGGGCGCTAAAGAGCTCAGGGAAATCTGCATTTTAATTGACATTCCAGGGAGAGGGAGAGAGGCGCCTGATTGATTTTCTATTCAAACTAAACAGGCTTTTCAGATAAAAATGAGTTCAAGACCCCGGGGAAGATTTACCCGGATTTGGGACTCGGGGGACAATGGAGTTTTAAATGTTGATGCCATTTCACACCAAACGCGCACGGGGAGCCCCTAGCAGGGTAGCAGGTCTCTCCAAAGGCAGGTCTCCCGGAGTTGGGAGCTAACGTGGAAGGCTCGCCGGGCACCAGCTCATGAGCGCCCGGGGCCGCGGTGATCGGGGGTGGCACAGCGCAGCGCCCTCGGCGGCGTCCCGGGTCCAGGCTGCTGGAATGGACGCGCAGGTCGGAACTCGCCTCGCAGTCGACATCCGCAGCCGAGCAGGCGGGCGGAGGAGAAATGTGGGTTCAGTCCGCCCCCTAGCCCCAGGATCGCTGAGTTTGCCCAGCGCCAGCCGTGGCCAGGGGTACCCCGCAACAAAATCAGGAGACCCCAGACACCGCCCCTCAAGGCGACACCCCTAAGAGAGGTTGCTTGCCACCACCACCACCCCTAATGCACACACTCACACACTGCTTCAGGGGCTCCCTCCCGGGGAAGACCTGGATGGGACGGGCCCAAGGACAAGAAACCCCGAGGATGCGCCTCCAGAACCCCGGCCTGCGGGGGTTGTGCCCGCCAGCGTTTGACAGCGAAGAGGTGGCAGCGCCAGAAGCAGCGTCAGCACCCAGAATGGGTGGTAGGAGCCAAACTCCTGAGGCGCCAGCTCGCGCCCTGTTCCCCCATTCCCTTCCCGGCCCAGGTGGGAGAACCGGGAGCGTCCGATGCCCGCGCCCTCACCTCCCCGAAACGCCAGGCGCGCCGATTACCTTGAATGGCAACGCCGCTCCGCGCTCCGGGCAGTCTCCGCGGACGGCGTGGCGTGGCTCGGGATGCGGGTGGCAGATTTCAAAACCAAGGACCGGCGGTCCAGGGGTGCTGGCGGGCGCCGAGGCTCCGCGGCTTCACGCGCACGGCCGGCTGCGGAGGCGCGCGGGCATCACGCCCGCCCGCCGCCCTGGGATCCGAGGAGCGCGGGGGAAGAAAGGACTCCGGAGCTCGGCGATCGTTCGCTCCGCCAAAACTTCGCTTGCAAGTTGCAGGCGCCCGGAGCGCGCGCGCGCCAGAGAGAGAGAGAGAGAGAGAGCCGCGGCCTCGGGGCTCCCCGGGGCGCGCGGACGGCTCCCCACCCCCGCCAGCCCCGGAGAGCAGTCACCGCGCGGGGCCAAGGCACGCCGCCGCTCCCCGGGCGCCCGAGCTTTGTGGCGGCCGCGCGCGCTGGCTCGCCCAGCTCCGCAGCCTCCGGCCGGCCGCCCGCTCGCTCGGCTCTCCGCGGCGCTCTCCGCTGCGCCGCCGCCGCCTCCTCGCGGCGGGTCACGCCCCCGCTGAAACCCGAGCCGCTTCCTGGACGGTGGCGCCCGCTCTGCCAATCAGCGCCGCGCGCCCGGGCCGCCCCGAGCGGCTCCCGACGCCTGCGAGGCGCCCGCGACGCCCCGGGCCCGGCGGGGCTGCGAGCCGGGTGCTCCGAATAAGGCCTGCTCCCGCGGCCCGCGCCGCCGCCTCCCGCCCAGCCCGCCCGTCCGGGGAGAGCTTGGCCCCGGCTGGCCTGACGCTGCCTCCGGTCGAGTTGGAAAACAAATGGCTGTGCCCCCCTCCAAAGAAAAGAGAGAGGGGCTGTAAAGCCGAGTCTACACCGCGTGAGGCAGGGAAACGCACGTTGAGCAACGCGTTTGGACGACGGGAAAAGCAGCTTGCAAATGTTTGGCAGAACATCCTGGGTTTTGCTGACCTTCCAGGAAAGGAATAGAAGGGAAACCCGTAATAGGCTCCGGAAAGTATCTGAGGCTCGGAGAGGTTGAGCGTTGGCTCAGGGTCACACAGCAGGTCCTTTTAGAAAAGGCCCCCAAACTGCGCAGCAACAACAAGTGCGTTATTTGGTCATCTACCAATACCAGGAGTCATACATAACAAGCAGTTGGCAAGAGCCCAAAGACTTAACCTTGCCAGAGAGCTCTAGGCCGTGCATAGGTGAACAGCTTCCCTCGAACCTCACACCCTTGCAATCCGTTTCCACGCTGAACCCCACGCTGCGGCTGGGGGGTTTGCACTTGGCTATACCTGGGCAATTTGTTTTTCACATCTCTAACCTTAACCCTGACCCTCTGTCCCTGCAGGTCCAGACAATTCCAGGGCCATCTCAAGATGATAAAAACCCTTCGTAAT